TGAGGTTATGAACGAGCCAAGAGAACAAGCGTTTGTCCAGGCATGCTCAGGTGACACTGCTGGCACAGCTGCCCCCTGCCCGGGCCACTTTCCACACCCGAGTCCAGGCCCCACCTGGAGTGGCTGTTTCAGTTTCAGTACAATCTGCTCTCCGAAGGGTGGGGAACCTGCAGCCTTAAAGCCACATTGTGGCCTTTTAGGTCTCTGACTGGCAGCCTTTTGACTAAATCCAAAATTTTACAGAAAATTCCTTTTTATAAAAAGGGGTGCAGCAGGGAAAGATAAACCTTTTCTTGCCTCCTTTGGTACTTAAAAAAGAATAGTTCACTAGCTCTCTGGGAGGCTGGAGCGCGGGTGGATTGCTCGAGGTCGGGAGTGTTCGAAACAGCCTGAGCAAGAGCGAGACCGCGTCTCTACTAAAAATAGAAAGAAACTAATACCGCACTAATATATATATAAAAAAAGAAAAAATTAGCCGGGCATGGTGGCTCATGCCTGTAGTCCCAGCTACTTGGGAGCTGAGACAGAAAGGATCGCTTGAGCCAGGAGTTTGAGCGTTGCTGTGAGCTAGGCTGACGCCATGCACTCACTCTACCTAGGCAACAAGCGAGACTCTGTCTCAAGATAAATATGATCTGAATGCAAATAAACATCAACTAAATCATCGAACACAGCAGGATTCTCCGCCCTGCATTGCTCTGCCTACACTAAACATACCGCCAGCAGGCTCACGGTACTTCATACATGTAGTAGCCATGGAGCAGCTTCTTTTCCTGTGTGTAAATTCCTGACGGCCTGAAAATGGAAGTCACCTAGACACCTACAAGAACGGATGGAAAGGAATCACTACAATAATCGGGAAACAGAATGCCTATCATCGAAGTGTAAGCATCTGTACCTACACACACACAGCCTATCTCCTTGGACTAGTGGGTAAAAACTCACTCATTCACACCTAATTAAATCTCTATATTCATTGACATCTTATTAAATCTCTATAATTTCTTATTCTGTGAAGATCTGCTCAAGGAAATCATTTTAATGAGTTTAAAAATCGGCATTTTTAATCAGATTTTTTTTTCAGCTGGGCATGGTGGCTCATGCTGTATCCTAGTACACTAGGAGGCCGGGGAGGAGGATCGCTTGAGCTCACTCAAGAGTGCGAGACCAACCTGAGCAAGAACAAGACCTCGTCTACTAAAAATAGAAAAATTTGCTCGGCAACTTAAAAAAAAGAAAAAATCAGCAGGTGTGGTGCTAATGCCTGAGTCCCGGCTACTCAGGAGCTGAGGCAGGAAGATCACTTCAGCCAAGAAGTTGGAGGTTGCGTGAGCTAGGCTGATGCCACAGCACTCTACTCAGGGCAATGGAGTGAGACTGCCTCCAAAAAATAAATTAGTAAATATCTGTTTTTAAGGAAATTATAAAAACTCTATTTTTAAAAAATGTCTTTCCCCCCAAGAAACAAATACTGGCTACAATTCAGTCACTAAGGGACCTTTCCCCTTTGTCAGATTCATGGAAGATAAACTGTTTCAGGTGCCAGGCTCAGACTTGGTTCAGCCGCTCAGCTCCTGCACACCGGCACTGAAGCCCAGGGTGTCAGAAGAGCAGACGCTCTTCCTTGCTTGGTCACGAGGAAAGTTACAGATCTGAACACCAGGATGTCTGCCCCACACAGTGCCCTGCTTCCAAAAGAAACACATGTGGGCGGCTACAGGATATAAAGAGATACGCACGGTAATTCTGAAGATAGGAGAATAAATTCAGTAAATTATCGTTCTAGAGTGGGATTTCTTGCCCGAATGAGGGTCGATTAGTGGAGGACGCTAAACCTGGTTTTTGTTTCATACACCTTTGCTTTACTGCAGCAGTGACTAACGCAAAGTATCAGTCTTCAACTCTTACCAGACAAAACATTCTCCCCAAGCTGCACATCCCCTGCTCTGCTTCAGCTGTAAATGTGTCTACGGGAAATGCTCATGTGCACCACTGTCCTCTCCCTCGAGGAGGACTCTCGTAAATCAGGCCACGCCAACAATAAGGACGGAGCCCACTCAGCGTCACCAGGAGGATGTACCATGCAAGTGCCCCCACACCTACCCGACCGTGACCGCGCACTGCTACCTCCTCGAGCCTGGGGCAGGCAGGGCTTCCACTGGTTGCCCTGCAATTACTTGCAGAGACAACTGTTGTTCTTCTTCCCTCCTGGAGGTTGCGGGTGGTGTTCAATCTTTCAACCATGCTCCAGGCAAGGAAGGAGGTAAGCACAGGATGTGTTTCCCCCTCGATGAGTCAACAGACAAATATGCGTCAGCAGCACACGTTGAACCCTTACCTCCCAAGGAAACAGCACAGCAGACAGTCTGACGAGCAGACAGACAGTCTGACAGCAGACAGCACGGCAGACAGACAGTCTGACAGCAGACAGGACAGTCGACAGCTAGCAAGAGCACCCAACAATACTGTGTCAGAGAGCACACATGAAACCCTAAATCGGGCAATCAGGACTAAGACGCAGTTGATGAGAAACTCCCTTTCCCTATAATCGAAAAGTAGCTTAAGATCCCTGTCTATTAACAAAGCTATTCCCCCCCTCTCCTTGAAAATGTTTCTGCTGTCTTGCTCCAGAGATGTCCCTCCTTTTCACCAAATGTGGAACTTGACAGTCCACACGCTACTAGAAAAGGCAGGTTTGTAGATGAAACGTCTCAGGAACTGTACCCTAGGGTACGTAATGACTTTCACAGGAGCACCACACACGGCAAATTCTCACAGAATGGCGTCAGACAGGGAACGCTTCCACGACCCAGCACACTCTCACCGTCTCCACTGACCGGCAAAGGCAAGTTAAAGGGCCACACACAGCAAAAAAGCACACTTTAAAAACCTTCATTATTTAATGTTCAAGTTGTGAATTTTTTAAAAATCTTCAAAAACTGAAGAGAAAAGGTTCGCACTCCTCTGGCAGCTCCAACACCAAGCTGTATGGCCAGACGCAGTGACACTCAACAGAAAGGGGCACTGCACTGCACTTGGCTTCTCGGCGACACCATAAACACCAAGTTAACACCCCGGGTTGGTTAACTTACCAAAGAAGTCAAATGAAAATGGGTCCCTTCCGCCAAAAAATTCCCTAAGACGTCATCTGGGTTACGGAATGTGAAGCAAACTCAAATGATTGTCTAAATGACTTCCACCTACATGAGCAAAGCACAGTTTTTATGAATTTTGGTGTTCTGTAGAGAAATATTTTTTATAGAATATAACACAAATCACAACCTTAAAAAAAATAAAACATTTATAATCTGGAGTTACCAAATTCAATGCCTCTGCTGGTTTAAGCTGTGTGCACCCAAAGCTGATGACAACGAGTGACTCGATTTAACAATGCGAGTGTCACAGCAGGGCCCTCTGCTGTTTACTCTGACCACCTCTGAAGTCTGTGATCCAGACGTGACACCCACAACCATTTGTCAACTTGTCAGGAAGGTTTATGAAGACCAGAGAACAAGCGTTTGTCCAGGCATGCTCAGGTGACTCTGTGGCACAGCTGCCCCCCTGCCCTGGCACTTTCCACACCACGAGCCCAGGCCCACCCTGGAGTGGCTGTTTCAGTTTTCAGTACAATCTGCTCTTCCAAGGGTGGGGAACCTGCAGCCTTAAAGCCACATGTGCGCTTTTAGGTCTCTGACTGCAGCCTTTTGACTAAATCCAAATTTTACAGAAATTGCCTTTATAAAAGGGGTGCAACAAGGGAAAGATAAACTTTTCTTGCCTCCTTTGGTACTTAAATAACGAATGTACTCAACTAGACATCTCTGGAGGCTGGGCGGGAATGGAATGCTCGAGTACAGAGGAGTAACAGCACTGAGCAAGAGCGAGACCACGCTCTTCCAAAAAAATAAAAACTAATAGGCACAGACTAATATATATATAACGAAAAAAATTAACGGGCATGGTGGGCTCATGCCTGTAGTACCAGCTACCTTGGGAGCTGGACAAGAAGGATCGCTGAGCCAGGGGTTTGAGGTTGCTAGTGAGCAGGCGACTGCACTGGCACTCACTACTAGCCTAGGCAACAACGAGAACTCTGTACACAAAAAAAATCTTGCTCAGGCTGGTTTTGAACTCCTGACCTCGAGCAATCCGCCCGCCTCGGCCTCCCAAGAGCTAGGATTACAGGCGTGAGCCACAGCGCCCGGCCGAGACTATTCTTTTTTAAGTACCAAAGGAGGCAAGAAAAGGTTTATCTTTCCCTGCTGCACCCCTTTTTATAAAAGGAATTTTCTGTAAAATTTGGATTTAGTCAAAAGGCTGCAGTCAGAGACCTAAAAGGCCACAATGTGGCTTTAAGGCTGCAGGTTCCCCACCCTTGGAAGAGCAGATTGTACTGAAAATTGAAACAGCCACTCCAGGTGGGGCCTGGACTCGGGTGTGGAAAGTGCCCAGGGCAGGGGGGCAGCTGTGCAGCAGTGTCACCTGAGCATGCTGGACAAACGCTTGTTCTCTTGGTCTTCATAAACCTTCCTGACAAGTGACAAATGGTGTGGGTGTCACGTCTGGATCACAGACTTCAGAGGTGGTCAGAGTAACAGCAGAGGGCCCTGCTGTGACACTCGCATTGTTAAAGTCGAGTCACTCGTTTGTCATCAGCTTTGGGTGCACACAGCTTAAACCATGCAGAGGCTTGAATTTGGTAACTCCAGATTTATAAAATGTTTTATTTTTTTTAAGGTTGTGATTTGTGTTATATTCTATAAACAAATATTTCTCTACAGAACACCAAAATTCATAAAAACTGTGCTTTGCTCATGTAGGTGGAAGTCATTTAGACAATCCATTTGAGTTTGGCTTCACATTCCGTAACCCAGATGACGTCTTCAGGGAATTTTTTGGCGGAAGGGACCCATTTTCATTTGACTTCTTTGGTAAGTTAACCAACCCGGGGTGTTAACTTGGTGTTTATGGTGTGCCCGAGAGCCAAGTGCAGTGACGGTGCCCTTTCTGTTGAGTGTCACTGCGTCTGGCCATACAGCTTGGTGTTGGAGCTGCAGAGGAGCTGCGAACCTTTTCTCTTCAGTTTTGAAGATTTTTTAAAAATTCACAACTTGAACATTAAAGTAATGAAGGTTTTTAAAGTGCTTTTTTGCTGTGTGTGGCCCTAATTAACTTGCCTTTGCCGTCAGTGGAGACTGGTGAGGATGTGCTGGGGTCTGGGAAGCGTTCCCGGTCGGACGCCAGTTTCTGTGAGAATTTGCCGTGTGTGGTGCTCCTGTGAAAGTCATTACGTACCCTAGGTACAGTTCCTGAGACGTTTCATCTACAAACCTGCCTTTTCTAGTAGCGTGTTGGGACTGTCAAGTTCACAATTTGTGAAAAGGAGGGACATCTCTGGAGCAAGACAGCAGAAACATTGTCAGAGGAGAGAATAGCTTTGTTAATAGACAGGATCTTAGCTACTTTTCGATTATAGGGAAAGTGGAGTTTCTCATCAACTGCGTCTTAGTCCTGATGCCCGATTCTAGGGTTTCATGTGTGTCTCTGACACAGGTATTGTTGGGTGCTCTTGCTAGCTGTCTGCTGTCCTGTCTGCTGTCAGACTATCTGCTGTGCTGTCTGCTGTCAGACTGTCTGTCTGCCGTGCTGTCTGCTGTCAGACTGTCTGTCTGCTGTCAGACTGTCTGCTGTGCTGGTTGCCTTGGGAGGTAAGGGTTCAACGTGTGCTGCTGAGGCCATATTTGTCTGTTGACTCATCGAGGGGGAAACACATCCTGTGCTTACCTCCTTCCTTGCCTGGAGCATGGTTGAAGAGATTGAACACCACCCGCAAACCTCCAGGAGGGAAAGAAGAACAACAGTTGTCTCTGCAAGTAATGCAGGGCAACCAGTGGAAGCCCTGCCTGCCCCAGGCTCGAGGAGGAGCAGTGCGCGGTCACGTCGGGTAGGTGTGGGGCACTTTGCATGGTACAGTCCTCTGGTGCACCTGAGTGGGGACTCCGTCCTTATTGTGGCGTGGCCTGACTTTACGAGAGTCCCTTCCTCAGGGAGGGAAGGACAGTTGGTGCACATGAGCATTTCCGTAGACACATTTACAGCTGAAGCAGAGCAGGGGATGTGCAGCTTTGGGGGAGGAACTGTGTGGTCTGGTAAGAGTTGAAGACTGACTACTTTGCGTTAGTCACTGCTGCAGTAAAGCAAAGGTGTATGAACAAAAACCAGGTTTAGCGTCCTCCACTAATCGACCCTCATTCGGGCAAGAAATCCCACTCTAGGAACGATAATTTACTGATTTAGTTCTCCTGTCTTCAGAATTACCGTGCTATCTCTTTATATCCTGTAGCCGCCCACATGTGTTCTTTTGGGAGGCAGGGCACTGTTGGGGCAGACATCCTGTGTTCAGATCTGTAACTTTCCTCGTGACCAAGCAAGGAAGAGCGTCTGCTCTTCTGACACCCTGGGCTTCAGTGCCGGGGTGTGCAGGAGCTGAGGCGGGCTGACCCAAGTCTGAGGCCTGGCACCTGAAACAGTTTATCTTCCATGAATCTGACAAAGGGAAAAGGGTCCCTTAGTGACTGAATTGTAGCCAGTATTTGTTTTCTTGGGGGGAAAAGCACATTTTTTAAAAATAAGTTTTTATAATTTCCTTAAAAACAGATATTTACTTTATTATTTTTTATTTTTTGAGGCAGTCTCACTCCATTGCCCTGAGTAGAGTGCTGTGGCATCAGCCTAGCTCACAGCAACCTCCAACTTCTGGGCTGAAGTGATCTTCCTGCCTCAGCCTCCTGAGTAGCCGGGACTACAGGCATTAGCACCACACCTGGCTGATTTTTTCTTTTTTTTTTAAGTTGCCGAGCAAATTTATTTCTATTTTTAGTAGAGACAGGGTCTTGTTCTTGCTCAGGTTGGTCTCGCACTCTTGAGCTGAGCTCAAGCGATCCTCCCTCCCCGGCCTCCTAGTGTACTAGGATTACAGGCATGAGCCACCATGCCCAGCTGAAAAAAAAATCTGATCATTAAAAATGCCGATTTTTAAACTCATTAAAAATGATTTTCCTTGAGCAGATCTTTCAAGAATAAGAAATTATAGAGATTTAATAAGATGTCAATGAATATAGAGATTTAATTAGGTGTGAATGAGTGAGTTTTTTACCCACTAGTCCAAGGAGATAGGCTGTGTGTGTTAGGTACAGATGCTTACACTTCGATGATAGGCATTCTGTGTTTCCCACGATTAGTGTGGTAGTGATTCCTCTTCCATCCGTTCTTGTAGGTGTTCTAGGTGACTTCCATTTTCAGGCCGTCAGGATTTACACACAGGAAAAGAAGCTGCTCCATGGCTACTACATGTATGAAGTCACCGTGCAGCCTGCTGGCGGTATGTTTAGTGTAGGCCAGAGCAAATGCAGGGCTGGGAGAATCCTGCTGTGTTCATGATTTAGTTGATGTTTATTTGCATTCAGATCATATTTAATGAATGCTATAATATCCTTTTTTTTGTAGCATATTATATTTTGGATTTAATTTTTCACATGGCCCAACTTTTTTCCTGCCCTGTTTTGGCTTCTAAAAACGTAGTTCACAATCTGTTTTATAATACTTCTGAGCTGCACTTTGTGTTCATTAGATCACAGAATCCATCCCACACAGGAGGGACTTGGACCTGGGGAGAGGAAGGGGTGTGCAGGGTGTCGGGTGGATTGTTACCACTCCTGTGCCTGAGCAGGTGTCCAGAGCTGTCCGTGTTGGCAAGGAGATTGGGCCTGGGTTACTTTAGATGTTGAACCCATCCTTAAAAAGCAGAGGCCGTCTTAGGAGAGGTGGTAGAAGCTGATTCTAAAGTTAGCACTGAATGAATATTGGCTCTGAAATGTAGGTATCCAATCAAAACCTTTGAGGCTAGCTGTTTAAATTCTTTCCAGAATATGGAGTACCTGAAAATGTGCTCTTGTCAAATGTTAATGGAAAAATTCATCAATAGGGAGTATACTAATTTGAATTAGGGTGATCATTACAAGACACCAGTTTTCAGGAAAATGGTGTTCTAAGATACAAAGTACCCAGTAGTGTCTTCTGATCCCCTTAGTCACAGCAGAAACTCTCATTGGGGAGGTTTATCTAGGTATAATTTTTTTATGTGTATTTCTTTGGAAAGCCAAAACCAACCTTTAAAACTGCTCCTAGAGAGCCTTTTTGTGTTAGCAGTTTAGCACATTTTTCCATTGTAGAGCATCACTCTTTCAAGCCATGGGGAAGGAAACAGTTCATGTAGCAGACTTTGGGGAGGGTGAATGATTGAGGACGAAGAATAGCCTCATTTTCTGAGCCCCGGTTTACATTTATGGTAGTGAGCCAGTCATTTTACTCTCCAGGGTTCGAGGAAGTGGCCAGTGAGGACTTGGAGCCTAGTGAAGAGCTAGAGCAGCCTGCAGTGGAGGACACGGTGGAAGACAGCCCGAGTGAGGAGGACAGTGAGGTGCTGGACGTGATATCCAGCGAAGACCTGGATCTCTTTAGTGAGGACGAGCCGAGCGAGGGCTGCGGCTGCGGCTGGGGCCCGGGCGAGCCCCTCAGCGAGGAGCTGGAGCCTGTCTCCAGCGAGGACGAGGCCGGGCCTGGGGATGCCTGGGAGCTGCTGAGCGAGGAGTGCGAGGAGCTGCTGAGCGAGGAGGAGCACAGTGGGCCGGAGCTGGGGGTACTCCTCCTGCCACAATAAAGCGTCAGCGGGCATGCTGGCTGTTTTTACAAAAGGCTTAATTTCTTTAGAGTATCTCTAGAATAAAGAAGCTGCTTCTCCTGCCTCGATACCATCTGGTCAGTTGCCTTTGAGCGAGAACCGAAGAGACCAGAATGGGGTGGCGTATTCTGAAGCCCCAGACCCTGGGGCCTTGTCGGATGTCTTTCCCCTGGGCCTAGAGACCCCGGAAGCAGTGTTTGGCCTCTGTTTCCTAGGGCTGCTATAACCTTGCTATAACCAGAAATCTGCCCTGTCCCAGTCATGGAGGCTGGGCGTCTAAGATTTCAGTTGTCCACAGGGCCTGTCCTGGCCCTCTCTCTGGGTATTTTTCCCCCTTCCCTTGTAGATGGTTTTTTTCCCGTTCCTTCTTATCATTTCCCCTCTGTACGTACTTGTCCAGATTTGCTCCTCTTGTAACTTTAAAGTTTATCTTTTAGAGATGAGGTCTTACTATGTTGCCCAGGCTGGACTCAGAGAATATAGGCTATGCCACCAGGTGCAGCCACAAATTTCCACTTTTTTTTTTTTTTTAAGACAGTCTCGCTCTGTTCCCCGGGCTAGAGTGCCCTGGCGTCAGCCTCGCTCACAGCAACCTCAAACTCCTGGGCTCAAGCAATCCTGCCTCAGCCTACCGAGTAGTTGGGACTACAGGCACGCGCCACCATGCCTAGCTAATTTTTTCTATTTTTAGTTGTTTGGCTAATTTTTTTCTATTTACGGTAGAGACAGGGTCTTGCTCTTGCTCAGGCTGGTCTCAAACTCCTGAGCTCAAGGAAGCCTCCCACCTGGACCTCCCAGAGTGCTAGGATTACAGGCGTGAGCCCACCGCGTCTGACCTCCACTTTTTATAATTGGTGTCCACTAGGGTGACTTGATCTTAACTTGATCATCTACAAAGGCCCTGTTTCCAAGTAGAGTCATATTCACAAGTTCTGTGTATTAGGACTCTAGCATCTTTTTTGGGGGAACACAGATCAACCTGTAACATAGTCCTCCTAACAAAGTTGGTTAGATTTTTGTTCTAATACATACAGTTCAGA